CTTCTGTCCCCTCCCAAGTGGACTGCACAATCCAGAAAGGCCAGACAGTCATCTCTGGCATCCTCACGAGTGAATTTGATGTTGTCATCCACAAAGTTGATATGTTTGGTGAAAGCCTCTACCTCCTGGGTTTTTGTAAAAATAGAACACCCCTCACTAAATAGGGGTGGTGGACTAAGACACAACTTGTCTTCCATCTACAATCCTGTTTTGAGATCTCTGCCCAAACATGCCCACCAGGACAATAGGCATCGGTTGACAGGTAACGATTCTGACAGATGCTGGGCTGCAACGACTCAGTCGTTAAGGGACATTGTTGGCCTTCAAAGGACTCAAACACCACCGAGGGGGATAAATATCTCCGGCTCAACACCAGTCAGTCAGAACTGATGAAGCCTCTTGGATGAGGGGTGAAACATCTTCAATCTAGAAATCTAAGTCCAGTTTATTTTTTTCTAAGCTTTTTCCAGTTTACTATGACCTGGATGACTGAGAATCTGCACAGACATATATTTTAGACAGTAGAAATCAATGGCAAGAGATAGAAAAGAGTGCACTGCCCTGGAGCAAGTACTCAAAAACTTGACTAGAATGAAATCTTTTATAGCAGTTTTTATTTTACTTTAATTCCTGGCTTCTGTGCTTGTACTGAGTCTCAGTGATGACTGGTGAAATTCAGAGGCCAGAGAGTACTGGACAGTTAGCTTCATTATTCTCGCTGAATCATTCATACAGCAATGGGCTGAGTTGAGGCAGCTAGTTAGTCCAGATCAGACCAAAATGCAGTGACCTTGAGAAGGAACTAGACTGTACAGCTGGCCTGTGGTTCATCTTTGTCTTTCTTTTATTCATTAGATTTTAACTCAGTCAGGTTTTAGAGTTTGAATACATGAAACTACAGTTGCTTTGCTGATTTCTGATCATACGCCATCTTAAAATTTCAACTGATAGTGAGACCAAAAAATCTGAAAAGATTAAAAATGACCACTAGTCAGGTTATTTTGCCTTCCTTTTAACAGAGTTTCTCATTAAGGAATTCAACTAATACATGAGATGATTTATTGCGATCCCAAACACAACATAACTTAAGATCACGTGAGCAAAGGTTTGAGCTGTCAGAACAAATTCTGAACATTTATGCAGCTGTGAAAATAAAAATAAAACGAGATTCTCTTCTCTCTCCTCATTTGTCTTAATAGTTACATCAACATTCAAAAATCTAACATTTAAGAAGAAGCTTTATTTATTGTCATTGTAACATGGTCAACGAAATTATGTTTGGAGCCAGGGGCCCCAGGCCGCTGCCTGCATACGCCCAACCATCACGGACAACGAGGGGCTTCAGTGTCTTGCCCAAGGACACTTCAACACGTGGACTGCAGGCACCAAGATTCAAACCTTCAACCTTCTGGTTGGGAGATGACTGCTCTACCCACCGCACCACTGTCGCCTCCCCTTAGAATTTACTGGAGATGTACTCTCAGTTATTGTGGAATTTGAGGACTCATTTTGCCATACTGTTCATTTTAACTGTATCTGCAGAGTACACTAAAGTAGAACATTTTAAATTTCGGAAGAAATTTTATTTGTGCTCACACTGACCTATGCTCCCGCCTTCAACCACATTACCCAGCTGTGCACTATCATTCTGTAGCTGTTGCTTGGACAATAGAACACAACAGCACAGGATTTTTCCTGACATGGCTTCTAATGACTCTCCAACAGCATGATAGAATGACATGAAAAATCTGGGGTTGGGCTGAAATAGTACTTAATGAAATATAGCACATACAAGTTGTAGAGATGTGACTGTACCAGAAAAAAAAAAAATCAACGACTTTGCCTTCTCGAGGTTAATGTGTGATGCCCCTTCTTTGAATTGAGGTGAGAATGTTAGTGTGTGTGTGTGTGTGTGTGTGTGTGTGTGTGTGTGTGTGTGTGACCGAGACAGACAGAGATGAGAAGGAGCAATGTGAATTTCCTTCAAAAGTACAAGTCTAAAGCTAGAGATTCTCACATTTAGGAAATCAGAATGATCTGCAGAACAATGTAGTATATCACATATACATGACCCTGTCAAAAAAGCATCTTATTACATGAAAGAACAAATGAATTAAATGTATCCAACTAAAAAAAATGCAACCAATAAAAATGTAACCCTTATAAGTCCAAGACTTATGTAGAATTGAGAGGTGGCATGACCATTATAAGTTACATAATGGAACCATGACTGATCATTAAAGGGGGGTAGCATGAGCTGAAAAAGTCAAAAACACTATTTTAATTGGCTACCCTTTGAAACTGTACAATAGATTGAAAAAAAATGTTTTAAACAAGTTGGAAAAAAACTTTAGTTTCATTAAAGCTTTAAAGGACCCTCCTACATTAAGAACTGACAAAGATGGTGAGCTTTAAAAAGAAGTCTGTAATAGTGATTCCTGTTGGCATAGGGGCATGAAACGCAGCACCCTCTTTCAGAACCCTTGGCTGCACAAGTCTGTCAAGTTTGGCTGGGAAAAACCTTTTATACCTTATTAAAAATTATATGTCACAGCAAGAGATGCTTTGACATATTTTCCCTAACTAGTTTTTTTGCAGTGTTATAATGTTTCAAAAAAATGCCAACTCATTGTTTCCGGGGTGCTATAAATAGAATATGTACCAAGTTTGGGGAAGAATGAAATGTGGTGAATAAGAAGTAAAAAAACAGTTTTTGACAAAATTCAAAATATAATCTGGTGGTCGCAGTTGCAAAAAGACTTGGAATCTATAAAAATAAAATATCTATAGCTTGCACATGGTGGCACTGTAGAAAAACATTTGGGGTGTCTGTGCAGAATGCCACAATATTATAACCACCTTTGAAATATTAAAAACAAAAACAACAAAAAAGTAATTTCCCAGCAATTCCTGTTGGGAAAAAGATGACTACTTCATGTGATTTGTACAAAAATGGTAAAAGATATAAAGTGCAGTATCTGTCATTCAAGCTGTGAAGCCCAGAATGATTTATGGCTCTGATGAGTCACGCTTCCGAGTCTAAATCCCACGTTAATTTCCAGGCAATATTATTTTACAATGTACACCTGCAAGTCATAAAATCACAGCTGGTAACAAAAGTGGGGTTTCATGTGATGCAAGGAATAATTCTTTTTAACTTAGCAGCAGTAGAATCCTACAAGTTCCTGGGCTCCACCATCTCCCAAGACCTGAAGTGGACGTCTAACATCAGGACCATCATCAAGAAGGCACAGCAGAGGATGCACTTCCTGCACCAGTTCAGGAAGTTCGATCTGCCCCAGGAGCTGCTGATACAGTTCTACAGAGGAATCATCGAGTCTGTTCTCTGCAACTCGGTTTGACTCAGCAACCAAGGACAGTCTCCAGTGGACAGTCAGGTCTGCAGAAAAGGTCATTGGTGTGAGCCTGCCCTCCATGGAAGACCTGTACACCTCATGGGTCAAAAGGAGGGTGGAGAGGATCACTGCTGACCCCTCACACCCCGGATACAATCTGTTTGAAATCCTCCCCTCCGGACGGCGTTACAGGTCACTGTGCACCAAGACAACCAGGCACAAGAACAGTTTCTTCCCCCAGGCCATTTCTTTAACACTTAAACCGTGACAGTGTGACTGGACAATAACCCTCAGAGCAACACCTGTATACATTGTACATATAGATCCGTCGAATGCATCTAGACTGTGTGTGCATTATTTTTATACACACACACACACACACACACACACACACACACACACACACACACATATATATGTGCTGTATATACACAGGTCTCTTTTTAAATATTACTTTTATCTCATTTCCTAATGCACATTCCTTTGTTTGCACATCATTTCTTTACTTCTGCTCTCAGCCTTATATGTACATAAGGAGATTTACATACCCATTGAGAGCCGCAGAGTCAAATTTCTCGTGTGTGCAACACACCTGGCCAATAAAGCTGATTCAGATTCCTAGAAGCCGCTCTTGTTTCTCCACCAGCACCCCATCTACAGTGTGTCACAGCGCAGTGGCGACTTTAAGCACACATGTTGCAATGGTCACTATGTGTGTGTAACTGAATTAAGCAGAAACTTTATTGCCAACTATTAATAAAAAATACAAGGAATTTGACTCCAGCCCAACGGCCCCCGATGTGCACATCAATAAAAACAGAATACAAAATATATGCCAGATAAAAAAACAAATTAAAAGAGCAAACATAAACTAACTGTTCAAGACTGTAATAGCCCAGGGAAAGAAACTGTCTTTGTGCCTGTTTGTCTTGGCACACAGTAACCTGTAGCACTGTCCAGAGGGGAGGAGTTCAA